TCGATTCGGCAATTGGCATCTAGTTTGTAGCCACTATTCTAATGTCGGCTCTATTATATAATCAACCACCTCTTTAAACCTTCAATTAATGTATAGTTCATCAATCTAACAACGCATTCTGAGATGCTATGTGTTAGATATGCATAATGCATCATGATGTGCGAAACTTTTTGTGTGATGCTTTTGAAGGGTTCGAAATCAAGGTAATTATACAGACGAAATTACCCATCGTTTTAGTAGAATTTACATAATAGAGTAAACAGTCAAAATATGAAATTTATATAGTTTGACAAAGATAAAAACACCTCTTTATTTTAAAAAGAATGAGTGTCGAGCATTATTATATTTTTATTGATCAATAATCAAACAAACGATCGATTTGCCTATTGAGTCATACAAAGGTCAATAACCAACATCAGAATTAGAAATAACATATATATAAATTCCAATTCCAAGTGGTTTAAAATGCCTTATATATACATGGATTGAAAATTTGTATTGGCGGTTCGACCAGTAAAATCTTCTATTGGAAGCAAAATTAATAGGTGGTATTTAACAGTATGAAACAATTGAACCACGATTTTAGCATAAAATATACTGCCGACTATTCCATTACAATACTGAGGTGAAGATTTTCAGTCCTTTGATTTTATATATTAGGCAATCAACAAGAGCAAGTTAAACCATCTTCGTGTTATTGCTATATACAGATTGAAATTCCTAGTATATTCTTTTGGCATGCATTTCGGTCGATTCACTTTAAAAAGTTTGGTATTTAAAACGATGTGGGCTGGATTAGGTCTGGCAAATCGGTTGTCGGATAACCAGTCGGTTACAACTGAAACCGGTCGGTTATCCGGTAACCGAAAACCGGGATAACCGAAAGCGGTCGGTGTTCTGAGGCTCGTCGAGAGGGGTCGGATAGCCGAGCAACCGACGGCGACAACCATCGGTTAACCGAGTAACCGTACCCTCTCGCTAAAACTCCAAAAACCCCCCTTATGTGCAAGACCAAACCCGAAACTAGCCCATTCTGTCCCCATCTCCCTCATCAACGATCTTCCCTTCCGCCGCCTCATCCACCAAATCAGAGACCACCGCTACCAAAAACCTTCCCTGGACCTCGTCGACCTCCGCCTCCGACCTCCGCCTTCGCCTCTGCTCGCCATCTCCCCCAATCTCCACCTCCGCTCGCCGCTTCCCCGCTTCTCCGAGCTCCGCCTTCACATCTGGATCTGGCAAAAGGAAAGAAGGAATACCAGAGACAAGACAGATAGAAAAGGAAAGAAGGAAGAGATGGAAAGAAAGAAAGAGAAAGAGATGAAAAGAAAAGAAAAGAAAGAAGGAAGAGAAAGAGACGTTAGGGTTTCCTTTCCTTCCCTTTATTTTAATTTTTTTTTCCAGAACCAAGCCCATCCCTGCTCGGCTAACCGACCCTAAAACTGAAATCGACCGGTAGGTTGGCCGGTTAACCACTTCTTCCTGCACGGTCGGTGGTCGGCAGCCATTAGAGGTTTTCAGTTAAACCGATAATCGAGAATTCAGTTTTGGGTTAAACCGAAACTGATCGACTGACACCCCTAGGCCGGATGCAGGCTGAGAGAGGGAGTGAGTGACACTGCGTCGCTCCATCGAATGTGTTCCAAATGCATATAGATCAGCTAAACCTAGCTGTCGTGGTGTTGCGTTGCTCAAAATGAATTGAATCACTTGTAGAATTCGGTCCCATGGAGGAGGGACGACTAGGACTGGCTATTTGGTCCAGGTTTTTTGGTTGTACCCGAAACCAGACCGTATAATCCGGACCAAGACCGGACCGGGACCGGATAGTAAACAATCCAATCCAATTTTTTGGCTTAGATTTGAGGTAAAAAATTGTTCGGAACAGGATCGAAAACTGGGTAAAGACCAGATAAGAGAGCTCAACACCAAAAACTTTCAGGGTAATTTGCATAAGCGGTCACAAATATTTGCACTTAGTACAAAACTTAACCAACTCCTCACCCTTTCAGGCCTTAGGGCACTCAAATACCCACAAACTCAATAAAAAATCAAGACCGAATTGGGACCGAATCGGGTCAAGACCGGATTGTATCCAATACAATCTTTGATCCTTATATTTTCAAAAAGACCAAACTGGATCGGGTCAATTTGGGCCAATTTAACCGGACCGGACCGTATAGTCACTCCTAGGGACAACACATGGTTTTATAGCATATGAATTCGGTAAACATCACACACGCCTAATTAGCGGTGTTCAAATGGTTACCGTGGTAATAATCAAATCAATTAAGTCTAAATTTCATTAATCATGGAATTAAATGTCTTAACCAAACCGTCTAAATTAACACAAAAAAATAAATTAACCAAACCAAAGTTTAATTGGTTTGGTTAATCGGATAATCGGATTAACCAAAAAACATAACATTACATGAAAATAATTATCATGTTAATGAATAAAACATAACCATATGTTGTTACTATCATAAACTATCATTATATATCAGCAATAATAATAAGTATAACCATCCATGATTATCATCATCATTAGAGTTAATACATCATTCATCATCTCTGCACCTAATATAGTTTGCTTGCAACAAACCCCTTAACATAAATACATACCAATACCCCTTATCAGGATGTTAAAGCTCTCCTATACATAGTTTGAGGTGATTGTCATGGTATATATAAAGTCTAGTAGTTGTGCAAAATGTTTTGTTTAAGTAAATAGGTAGGCCAATTTAATTTTTGACCCATAATATTTTGGTTTGTTGTGCACATGGAAATAAAATAGGGAATTACGAAAGTTTGGTTTGGTTGGTTGCATGGAAGTATAAATAATTTTGTATATTAGGTGTATCATTAATTGGTTAATTGATTAGCAGTATTGAAACCAAACCAAATCATCTAAACCAAATAAACTAAATCGTTTAACCAAACCAATTATCCAAGTTAACCAAACCAAATGCTACCGATTAGTATGTTTACCTCGGTAACTTTGAACACCCCTACGCCCAACTTCCATCCTACACCTTAATTAATTAGCTAGTGTGTACGTATATACGTATACTACTTTTCGCGTATATGCTGTGTATATATGTAGAGTACAATACGCTATTTTGCATGATTCATATGCGAACGCGGCCCAATGGCAGCAAGACACCTCCACCTCATCCTCAAACTCCCCAGCTGCCAAGTCATTAACTATAAAGTATAAACCAACCTCGATTCAACAATTGCGCATCCATCTATGTAAGTTCCGTGACTATCTATGACTTCGACTATGTACGATATTAATACATTGATTACGAGGATCGTTTAAACCTTTTAGAGGATAATTACGATATTAAATCGCGCTTGGGGATAGTATATATGAAAACTAGGTCAAACCGATTCCTAGAATGACAATTTTGACCTAACCTGTTTTACTCGATCTATTTGGCCTATTTTGGGCGGGTCCAATCCGCCCCGTAGACGGGGCGGGGCGGGTCCGATCCGCCCCGTAGACGGGGCGGGGCGGGCATGGGTACCTCTCATCGACCCGATCTACCCTGACCCGCCCCATTCTCGACCCGTTCTTGCCTAAATTACACGTATTTTTAGTCAAATTACATAAAATTTCCTCTTTATTACCTCATATTTTAACTATAATAAAGTTGGAAATAAGTGAAACCTCTATTGTCCAATAATTTAACTACATTTTATCATATTATGGTTTATTTCTTGGTCTTTTAATGAAATAACGAATATTTTTTAATGTTTTTCATATAAATTACAAACTCATTGGGTCGACCTACTCCGATTCGCGCCCCATGATAAATTACATGATCTGAACACGACCTATCACGGGACAGGTATCTCAATACTCATACCCGCCCCGGACCTGCCCATTGTCATTCCTACCGATTCCATTGCCATCCATACAGGAAAGAGTAAACTTGCTTAAGCAAGGACCACGTGTCACCCTAATCTCCACCCACAGGCCACAGCTCAACATAAGTTACCAAACCAAAACAAACTCAAAAGACTAAACAATAAACATGCATATCCCCACATGCCCCCTCACCCCAGTTCCTTCTTATCCACACTACTACTAAGTACTAATACAGCAAACTGATATGCTCTGTGCTCTCGCATCTGTTACCGAATCAAAATATTTAATGCCGTGCTTGTTTAGCACATCCTCTTTAATTTCTCTCCTTAACCAAAAAAGCAAGAAAGCTTAGCTAGCGTCGAGCCACGGGTTAGCCACGGTTTAAACGCTTTCTTCACTAACTCTCTATCTACTGTCTAGCTCATAGTAGCAGTGGCCCAGCTAACCAAAACCAAATAAAGAGGAAGAACAACAACAATTTACTGTTGACTACCACATAATATAGAGATTCCCACAATTGGTCCCCCTGCGCTACTCGACACTTATGTGCGTGAGTCATGCTCCATTTCGTCGGCTGATTTCATCCCCCACCCTTCACGCGGTTGTTGCAACTCCCGACTCATTCTTCGGCGTTGCGTCAGTTCAACTCTATTCGCCGCCCAACTTAGACAGACGACTCTCTGCCTTTGCGTGACTCCATCACCTTCACCTTAACCCGGACCCAACCCCTCCTTTTTAGTATATTCATTAACATACTTAAGGAGTTAAATATGCTCGGAGAAATTATCAGTTTATAATCCAAAATTGATGGGTAATTACTAATAAAAAGCTGGATATACAGAGAAACAAATCATTATCATATATAAAAATCAATCGAATTTCCACTAGTGGCATGGTATGCCAACTTGCGACAGAGTGTGAGCTCAGTACTTTGAGCTGGGTGTCTATGTACATAAAAAGAATTTCTGAAAAAGAAATAAAAGGACGGCACAATCTAGCCCATATATCGGGATAAAAGGAAAAAAGTATAATTCAAAAAATAAGACACGTGAAATTGATGAATACTTGTATTCCCTAAAGTAACCCTAAGAGAATCCCTAATTCACTACAACAACCCCATCCCCTACTGAGAGGAGACGACTTCCGCTTTGGACCCCGCCGCCGCTGCTATCGCCATCACCACCCTGGGCTTCTTCGCCACCGGCAACGGGCTCATCACCTCGTCCTCCCCGCCGCCGGACAAGAAGAAGTCCCCGGCCGCGAACTCCGGCAGGGCCGGCAGGTTGAGGTCGATGAATCCCCTGTTACTCATCGTGGTTGTGGACCCCACACCCTCAGAGACACTCGCTGTTGCGGTGACTGTAGAAGAAGCAATTCCGCTCTTCTCGGCTGCGTGGGCGGCGGCGGCGCCGCCGTCGTAGTGACACCGCTTATGCCCACCCAGCGCCTGACCGGTGGGGAAGCTCTTGTGACAGATCGAACACTCGTGAGACTTCCCGCTCCCTGATGTTGCGCCGGCTGCAACGGTGCTGGTAGTAGTAGTAGTACTGGAAGTCGATTGGGCGGCGGGCTCGACCTTATCACCGGAGACCGATTTTCGGTGACTGGCCTTGTGGCCGCCCAGAGCCTGGTAGGAGGAGAAAGCCTTCCCGCAGACGGCACACTTGTGGCTCAGCAGCTTCTCCTCCGCAGTGGTCTCTTGCGAGAGAGGAACAGGGGAGGCAGAGCGGGGGCGGTGGGAAGAAGAGAAGTCGAAATTGGTGGTGCCGCGAGCAAGCATGACGAGGCAGAGCGCGAGATACTCGTCCTCGGTGGGCTGGGCGTGACCCGCGGCGGGCCGCTTGGAGCGCTTGCGCTTGGTCCATGGCTCGGCGAGGCGGTGGAGGCTGGGCACCTCCTCGAACGGGAAGGAAGGCGCGCCGGCCGCCGTGGGGGAGTTGAGAGCTTGGAGTGCCATCTCTGGTGTGAATTCGAGTTGGGAATTTGGTGCTGGGGATTGAATCTTGACTTTTCTTGGAGGCTTGATTGTGAATTGGGAATTTGGGGCTGGAGATTGAATCTTGATTTTTGATTTGTGGGGTTTGGAGAGTGAAGAGTGAGTTGATGGAAGGGAAGCAGGGGGAGTTGGGGGAGATTTATATAACGGGGGCGGCAGTGAGGAAGTTGCGTGACAAGTGGGGGGGAAAGTAAGAAAAAAACGCCAAACGTTTATAGTTGGGGAGGTTAATTAAAAATTTGTTAGGGGCGTTTTGGGAATTGAAGCAGTTGGTAGTAAGTAATCCATGTTTATTGAGAGAGAAAAAGGAGAGTTGCTTGGCGGCCACTGTTGGAAGGAGTGGAGTGGTGAAAGTCGGTCAAAGTTATGTGTGTAGCGAGTGTGGGTACTGTTTGGCCACTTGGCGAGTGACGGAAGAGTAGTGGACGGACTTGATCGGCTCGTAGGACTGCTTCCAACAAACGCGGTCTTAGTTGGGCCTTTTCTTTTTCGTAGTAGGGTTTGCCTTCCTTTTAATGTAATCTCTCTACTCTTTTTAAGTTCACAGAGCAGCAGCCGGCAGCTCACATGCGATGCACCTCTCATTTTCGGCCACTAATCAAAGCTTAATTGAAATTTGTTAATGCTTGTAGAAAAAACCTGATTAGGAGACTGGTAATTAGTGATTGTATTTTAATTTTACATGGTTAAACCAACGCGGTTGAAGATACGGATAATTTTCCAGAAAGGCGGTGGTAGTATTAAAATTGTAGGGTATGTAGAAGAGTTGTAGTTCCAGATTTGTTGGTTAGGTTAGGTTGGAGAAGAAGGGTTGGAAGGGGGAAGCAGCGAGGGAGTTTACACGTGCCGCCGGCTTTGAAGGTGGAATTGGGCCCGTTGAAAATCAATATCTATCGGCTGTCCAATAAAAAAGCCCAAAAGGGGGTTCTGGTCAGTGGTCACCACTAGATGAGATTCAATTCAAAGGCCTGCACTTTTGACACCTAGCTACGCTAATGCACTTTGGACAGATTCCAAACCAACGTTCCCAGCACCACCATCACTTGAGCTTGAGTCTCCAGGTGTGAACTGAAACCCTACACCCAGACTTTCTAAAACTGATGAATTTAAGTGCGTGAATCTCTAGTCTCTGAATTAACATTTATTATAAATACTAATCAGTTGGGGTCAACTTGGAAGATATCATCCAATTAGCTAACCGATCAGCGTTGAGAAATCTAGATTGTTCAACAGATTTTACTAGTACAAGCTCGATTATTTGGGTGATGGGGTGGGAGTGGGGACTCTTTTTCGTTGCACCTATTCTGGTGTGGGCGTGTAAAATTAGGTAATGGGTGGGAATGAATATGTCCCAAAATGCGTGTTTGTGGTGGAGATAAGGAGTAGTAATATGGGCTTTTCTGAAATGCAGAAAGAAAGACGAAGACACGCTCCCCACTCTGCCGAAAAGAAAAGAGGCACTCACTCACTCTCACTCACTCACTCACTCACTCACACTCTAATAAAATTTATGCTAGAGAATCTGCCTATTTGTTTCTTTTTTTGTGGCGGTGGGAATTTCTGTCTTTCCCATTGCTTGCTAGAGAATCTGCCACGTTTTCTCAACCCCCCACTCTTTTTCTGCCGCCAAATTTCGGTTGTGCGACTCTTTAAAGCAAACACATGTTCCTACCCTTCTACATGTTTCTCACAATCAAGGGAGAGCTTGCTAATCAAACTTCAGTTTTGCTGCAATTACAGCTCGAGATAAGAGTCGGTACCTCAAATACATTTTCAACGTTGACTCCCCGTGTGGGTGTGGGAATGACACTCTTTTCTTTAACCATAATTGATAAGTCCACTTCATTTCGTGGTGCGCTGCAACTATAGGGGTGGACGTGAGTCTGGAGGATTCACCAAGAAATTAGATATTGGATTGGTGGATGTCAATGGTTTGAGTCGATTTATTTTTAACCAGTGAGTTTAATCAACTCAAAACTATAAGATATTATTGAATTTCTTCAATTCGATGGTTTAATTATGATTTACCATTCATAGATGCTGATAAAATCGTTACACTAGCAGCATCTTCGAGTCAATGACACGTTCTTATCTTGTTAGCTCAAGCAAACTGACTATCTTTAATTGAAGCAACATTCACTTATAGTTCATTAGCTAGATATAACTTCCAATCGTGATTCGTGGCCCCCAAAAGAAAGTGAGCTAGCTTAACACTTCGCTTAGGTTTATCGATTCAGGTCTAGTTTAAATATGGTCGATCAACTCATCATTTTGTTTATGTCTTTTTGTTTTCAAGGGATCCAAAAATTGTCAGAAACAAAAAAGAAAACATTGATTCGAGAATTTACCGAGGTAGTGTAGTTCGGTCCTTACAAATTAAAAATCAACTCGACGTGGTGTGTACCAAATCGATCACTTCTCCTCTTTAGCGCTGTTCCACCAAGTAATAAGCAGACCATCTTGATTTAGTCAGTTATTTCACACATAATTAAGAACCATCTATGGTTTTCATAGAGATAATGTATGCACTTCCTATTCAATTGTGAGATATTGACTTTTGGTTAAGTCTATCGTATACTTTCTCCAATGCGCTAATATTTAGTACGTCGGTGTGCTTGATAGCATCTTTTCAACCAAAAAAACGGGGGCTGTACCTCTCGACCAATAATCAACCTTAATCTACTAAACAAAGTTATTGAGCTCACTCGAGATTTCAAGGTTGACTCCATTTTTATATACAGAATCAAGTAATTATACTAATAGTCTAATCCTTAATTTCCCCTCTCTTTTGTTGGGGTTATGGGCAGAATCAAGTAATTATACTAATAGTCTAATACCACCCAAGACGACATTTCTTTCTGTTTTGGTAAACGGTAATTGGGCAAAAACCCTTCGTTATAAAAAAAAAAAAGCATCTCTCTCCTCTCTTTTCTTCTCTGAGTACTCTCTAGAAACCTTTCACAGACAGCGTTGGGGGCTGCCGCCGGCGTTTCTTTGGCGACCGGTGGCAGCCCTATGCTACTCTTTCATTTCCTTTTTTCTTGGTGCTGTGTTGTTTCGTCCTCTCCTCCTTTCGTCAGTTCGTCTTCTCTGGTGCTTTTCCTTCCCGTTGCTGGGGTTTCTTCCTCCCCTTTAGTGGGTTGATCTTTTGCCCTCTGATCTGTTGTTTCAGATCTGGAGATGTGTCCGACCTTAGATGCAAAATGGAGGCTAGATCTGTCACAGATCTAGCTTGTTTTCTCCTCTTTTTTCCTTTGTCTACCTCCTTGTTTCACTTTGCAGAGCTTGGTGATTCGGAGATGCAGCCGTTGGCGAGGACACGGTCTGGAGAGCTTGAAGACAGATGATCTCGTTCCTCTGGTTCCTTTGCTGGCCGTCCGGTCGCTTTGTTCATTTCCCCTGTGATGGCTCGACGGAAGGCGAACATCGATTTGGCTCGGGGTGGTGTGCTTGGAAGGCTTCCTTCCTTCCCCACCATCCGAGTTCGGTTGAATCAAATCCCTCTTGGCGCGTGGTGGCGATGGCTGGTGGTGGTCGGCGGTGCATGCGTAGTCAGGTGGCGGTTGAAATTCGGCCGCGGCAGTGGAGGAGGCTAGAGGAAGGCAAGAGGCGGCTAGGGTTTGTAGATGTGGACAATGTTTTGGTCCGTGGTCCGGGCCCTATTGGGTTCCAGACTCTTGGTTCCAATCCGTCCTGGGGTTGGAGAAGTATCATTCATGGTAGAGAGTTACTCTGCCAAGGTTTACGGTGGCAAGTGGGTTCGGGTCTCTCTGTTCGGGTCTTTGAGGATGCTTGGTTACCTACTTCTCCACCTTCTATTCCTTCTCGTCGTCCCGGTGCTCCCCTTTCTTCCCCATTTGTTGCGGCGTTGATTGATCCAGGAAGTCGGACTTGGAATATGGCGGCTCTTCGTTTATTTTTCTCGGCTGAAACAAGTAAGATCATCTCCTCTATTCCCTTACCGAAGGACCCTGTTCCTGATGAATTAATTTGGCATTTTGATCCTTCGGGGACTTTCCATGTTCGTTCAGCTTATCATCTTGCCTTTCAATTACAACGATCTGAGATTGGTCGTCCTAGAGTAAATCAGGTTGATCGTGCGCTTTGGTTATGGTTATGGAATTTAAAATTACCTCCCAAATTAATCTTCTTTGTTTGGCAATGTTTGAATCGTATACTGCCGACAAGAGAGGCTTTATTTCAGCGAGGCATGAACATCCTTCCGTTCTGCCCGGTTTGTGGTCGTAAAGTTGAAAGTTTAGAACATTTGTTCTTCACCTGTCCTTTTGCTCGCCGACTTTGGAACTTGGTGGGTTTACGGTCTGAGTATCAATCTTGGGATAAGCGGTCGTTTGCAGGGTTCTTTCGGGCGGTTCTTTTTGACCGGCGCAATGCAGCACACAATTCTTACTTTAATTTGCAGGTGATTGCTATGTTATGGAGAATTTGGAAAAACAGGTGTTCTGTTCTCTTTGAGCACCAGCAGGCTCCTTTGGTGACGCGGGCTGCGGAGTGGCGCCATCAAGTGAATGAAATTGAGATGGCATTCGCTTTCACTCCAATCCAGCAACACATTGGTGTTTCAGCCCCAGCTCCTCGGCAACTTTTGTCGCCTCGTTTTCATGCTTGCTTTGATGGTGCAACTGGGCGTGGTGATTCCGGGGCTGCTTCTTTTGCAATTTGTGAAGGTTCTTTTGAAGATGTGAATGCAGCTCCGTTTGCTGCAGCGAGTACAATTTATCCAGGGATTGCGGATGCTCATGTCTTGGAAACTTTGGCACTCAGAGATTGCTTGAGGGAGTGTGCTCGTAGGCATTTGAATCCTCTGCTAATTACGGGTGATGCTAAAGTGATCTTGGACAAGTGCTTGGTTGGGGATGTCAAGGATTCAAAGGTGGGTTCTATTTTGCGTGAGATTGGATCCTTGCTGGCTGGTTTTGGTGGAAATTGTGAACTACGATTTGTAGGTCGTCAGAGAAACAGGGTGGCTCATTTAGTGGCCAAAAAGTCCCTGAGTTTGTCGCCTCGGGTCCTGTCGAGGTTCGACTATGTGTCTTGGTTACGGAGTTTGTAATTGACGTTGTGTGGATCTTATCTTCCTCTCCCCGGAGATGGTTTGAATGACAAAAAAAAAAACCCTTAGTTTCCTCTTGCTTGTATCATTTCCGATTGTGCCTGGCCCGTTTTGCAATCTAATTGAACTGATTTCAAAAAAAATATGGAAGAGTCGAGGAATGTGCATATGTACCGATTTGCTTACTCAGGCACCACGAAAGCACCATATTGATCCATATGTCTAGATGGAGAAGTACAAACTAAGTCGGCCACAGCCCACAGCTGAGCTGACGAGGCCAAAGTGGGGCATTAATTAATTACATAACGGGTCATTAACTCGTTGGTAATTAAATTAATTAATTATATATATGACTGTTTAGGGACTTGATTGATTATATTTATACTACTACTTATGTTTGTTATTTGCGAGCCTGCTGTTTTGGACTTTCTTGGAGGCGCACTTAAAACATGTGCCACAGTACCACTCATGATCTAGTACTGTTGTGTCGTTTGCTTCGTTTTTTTTTAGATGCTCTTCAATTTCCTAATAAATGAATTCTTGTAATTCATGTTTCTATCGGTAAATACAAACTCGTTAGAAAAGGTGATTCAGAAATTCCTAACTCTTTGCCAAATGACACAAGGGTAAGAAGCAGATTGTGGGAAATGAGATGAATTATGAGAAGAATGAGGTCGTTTAGCTACAACGATTTGTTCGTTGTGATTAGTCTTCGTTTTGTCACTTTGACAATTATTTGTTGGCCAATATTTTTTTTTTTTTGTTAGTTAGAGTTAACGAGCTTTGTTTTGCAATGTAAGTTAGAAGCTCCATGCCCACCATATATGAATCTTTATTAATAATTTGATTTATTGAGACTAATTGGTTTATGATATGAGATCAGAGATGACTTGTCATTGATACCACATGTTCAAGTACTCACGATCCCCAATATTAATCGTTGTCTTTAAAGCATATGATATCTTTGAGATCACGTGTTCAAGTCCTCATCACGATCCGATCCCCAGTATTAACCGTTGTCTTCAAAGCATATGGTATATCGGATCTGTGCAAACTTCAAACTTTTGTGTTGACTTTCATTTTAGAGAGCATTTACAGAAGTGTTTAAGTATCATAAATGGACCTCTTCTAATAACTCAAGTTATTACAAAATTTGATTTATAACATTAATCAAAATCCCATGTTTGAAAAACATCTCTTAATGGAAGGAAAAGACATATTGCCAAAGTCGACCAATTGAATGCCACCTCTTTTTATTCTCTCTTGTCTGGGTCCAATATAAACCCTAAACCAGTAAGAGTGCATATGAGTTTATTTGATTCGACAAAATACTCATATGTATTAAGGGCTCGTTTGTTTGTTGGATTACAAAATGAAGGTTTTGATTTTTAAAAATCTTTAGATTTATGATGGATTTATTGTATTTTGTATTTGAAAGATAACATTGTTTGTTTAGTTGAATTTTTATCATGGATCTAGTTCATTTGGTATTTGGATCTAAAAAATTTGCGTTCCATAGTGTTGTATTTGCAAATACCAAATGAAATGTGTTATTTGCAAATACGTGGGGTCCACGGATTTGTATACCTCAACAAACAATATTTTTTCATCAAATCCATAATGCTTGGTATTTGGGTGCCAAATACAACACCCAAATCCCACAAGCAAACGAGCCCTAATTGAATCAAATTACCAATTGACCATGACAATGCCTGATATTTATGAATAATAGAGTTTACTAAATTGCTTAAAGGGTTTGACTTTTCATCAAATATTTGACTTCTATTAGTTAAGGGGTTTATGGGGTTCAGATCCCATGAGTAATTGACGGGTCAGTAACTGACGGGTTAGTAACCCCTTCCTTAATCCACACGTGTCAGTCTTTCTTTCATTTAAATTAAATACAGAGATGCAGTAGGATAAAATTGCACTCACCCCATTTAATGTTGACGATGACTTTTGACTAGACGCGGACCCCATCTCCAGCCTCATGTGTGTTCCCGTCTCTCTCACTCTTTCTTTTATTATTAATAGAAAAATTACATTATTTCTTCAGGTTAATTGCATGGTTGGTCGCTGAGATTACAAAAAACGTTCAAGTTTGATCACTCGAAATATTTAAATCCATTGATGGTACTTCAGTTTACTGAAACCGTTCACGTTTGGTCACTCTCCGTCCAACTCCGTTAACTTTGGCTAATGTGGCAGTTAACTCTCAAACTTGACCGTTAACTTAGTGACGTGGCAATTAAAAAATAATAAATAAAATAAATTTAATCTATTTTAATGTCCAACTCATTTTTATCATAAAATAAATAATAATAATAAAAATATTACAATTATTAATTACCAAATTAAAATAGGCGCCCGACGAGGTAGCCGCGATTCCTTTGCCATTGGATGAAGCCGTTCGAAGTGGAAAAGTGAAGATAACAAAAAAGAAATGTCGCCTCCCTCCTCTCCGCCTCCGCCGCTTCCACCTCCACCTCCATCGTCGACTACCTCCTATCCCACGCTCTTCCCCAACAAGAATTCTCAACCCATCCCTTGGATCCAATAAGAAACCCTCCACCTAATCTTATCCTACCCGGACAAATGGTACTCTTCCAAGCGTCGACACCTCAAGGCTCACCAGTGGGATGAGGTCGCCATCACTGTTGCCACCCGCTGCGAATTCGATTTCCAAACCCCGGAGGCCAAATCAGGGACCATGTGCCGCAACAAGATAGAGAAGCTCCGCAGCAGGTACCGCGTCGAGCTCCACGCAGTTTCCTCGGATGTAGTGGGTTCCAATTGGCCCTATTTCGCTCTCAGCGATTTAGGGTTTCTTCAATACGCGAAAGCTGCTGCAGCTGTGATGGGAGCAAAGAGGAAAAGAGCAGAGGAGGAAGAAGAAAGGCGCGAAAAGGGGGTTTGGGTTGGTGGATGAGATAGATATGATTATTTAGAAGATGAAAGCGGTGGAGAGGAAGAAGATGGAGATGTTGAAGGAAACAGAAAGATGGAGAATGGAGATGGAAATGGAAACGGAAAGGATAGGGATGATGGTAGCTTCGTAGAGGAAGATTCTTGACTTGATTCCCTGTAACATCCAGTTTGCTTAGTCAATGGCAATATCAAAAGCATCCTTTTGCCCTTTCCATCCTACAGAAGAACTACGCCCTCGACGTCACCGCCATCGTCTCCGACGACAACCTCCCTCACCTCCTCCACCCGCCGTGGTGCAACTCGCTCAAGCGCTTGATAGACCGATAATTACACATGTTTTTACCCCTATTCTTGGGCCGTTTGAAATGTTGATTCTCGTGTTTTAAGCCGATTTCACGCGAGGTTGTACGTTTATGTCATATTTCAGGACTTGGCATTGGAATCGAGGCAAAGGAACGAGATTCGGGTTGAAAGGAGCAAGTGAGGCTTGAAGTGTGCTGGAGAGCCAAAATACTCGGCCATGAGCAGAAATACCCGACCGGGTATTATCTGGCCATGGTCGGGGATTTTTGGCTTTGGGCGTCCGTTAGAAACAGAAGGGGGCCCGGGCAAGAGGCAAAAATCCCCGGTCGGGGATTATGGGAAGAGACCGGGGATTTCCCCTGAGGCAGAAACGGTGCGCTTCAATTATACCCGGTCGAGACCCAAAATACCCGACCGGGTATTTCGACCGGGTATCGCGACAGGCAGCAGTTTTAAAGGAAAAGAGGCTGAAAATCAAAGGGTTCCGAGTTTTAGAGAGACAGAGCGATTCCTAGAGTGAGAAAGCGACGAACCAGAGTTCCCAAGTGCCATAGCTTGATCTTCATCACCATTGGAGCCCGGCTTGAGCTTGGAGAAGTGTCGATTGACAACCAGGAGCAGAAACTCATCCTTCATAGTATGATTTCCGCGTCTGAATCTGCTTTTGCTTCTCTCTCCATAGAGTAGTTTCCCCATTCATCTGGGTATGAGGAACCCTAGATTTTTATGTTAGGTCTGATTGTATGAACCCAAGTACAGAATTCATGATTTGATTATATTCGATTGAGGCTTGAATGATTGAATGACTTGAATCCTGATCAAATTCCTGTTATTTCTGCTTTAACCTAGAATGATAATATCTGCCTAGGTTGATAGAGTATCCTTAATTGAAGGTAGTGAATTGGCGACTTTAGTCGAGGAGCCAATTCGCTATTCTGTACCGAATTCAACTCGGTAGTGGAGGTTTGGTTCGTTAGGGCCTCAATCTGTTTACTCCGGTGGAGGTTAGTCGCCCGCTGGAGACTCAGATTGAGAGGGTCTGGAGACCTTTAGTCGAGACTTCAGACTGTTTAAGAACCTTCCGCAGTATAACTTTCATGAAAATTGAGCTTGGTAAATTGCAATCCGGCTTAACTGCAGTCTAGGGGGAACCATATCCGGGTGACCTTTCTCGACTTGAAACAACCGTTTAACTTGCTTTATGTTTTTGTTTGTTTGACCCTGCACTAAATTTTCACTGCTAGATAACAAGAATTCACCGAGTAGTCATCAAATCTAGGACCCGGGTTGACATTAAAACCCAAACCCGCTATACTACACTTTAGGAATTGGTTTCACTTGGCCATTTTCTAGATTGACAGTAGGAGTGAGTCAAGTTTTTGGCGCCGTTGCCGGGGACGGCTAGGTTGTTGAAGAAAAGTGGTTTCTGTTACTTTAGCATTTTCATTTTCGCATTGAGTGTTTGTTCTTTCCCACTTGTGCCTTCACGGGTTTGCATTGCTTGATTGTGTGCAGATAGTGCATGACCCGTAGCCAGTCGGGAGGTTTACTGTCGTTGGATCCAGAGATTGAACGCACCTGCCACCAACTTAGGAGACAACAGCGAGCTAGACTGGCTACGGAAGAGCGCATAGACGACCATTTGAGCTGCGAGTCCGAGGACGAGTACGAGATGGAAGGCGACCACAACCCACCTCCGGTGAATTAGCTCTTGGGGAACGACCCCATACCCAAGGCAGATGGGGTTCATCATCATCCACCGCCGCAGGGTCCCACCTTGGAGTACTACTACACTCCACGGATTGCTGACATCCGCCCGGTCATCCTCTATCCGCCCATTCCAGCGAACAACTTCGAGATGAAGCCATGATGGATTCAACTCATTACATCCTCTATCCAGTTCCATGGCTTGAAGGATGAGGAGGCAAGGGTGCATCTTTCCCGTTTTCTGCAACTGACGAACGGGTTCAAGCTGAACGGTGTCCCGGATGACACAATCCGCCTTCACCTCTTCCCCCATTCTCTGGCGGGAAATGCTAAGAGGTGGTTGGAGATCCAGCCCCCATTGTCCATCACTTCTTGGGACGATCTGGCAGACAAGTTCGTGCACAGGTACTATCCGGCATCGAAGACCACAGAGATTCAGCGGGAGATCACTCACTTCCGCCAAGAGCCAGACGAGTCACTTCGTGATGCATGGGAGCGGTACATGGGATATTTCTGGCAGTGTCCCCATCATGGCTTCAGTGATGCATTCACAGTGGGGAACTTCTACAGTGCTCTCTTCCTGGACAGCCAGAGGGTGATTGAGTCTCTATGCACAGGAGGGGATATTCTAACTAAGACTCCACCCGAGCTGAACCAGATGATTAGTACCTTGCCTGCCCGAGATCATTCCTGGGGGCAGAACAGTAGAGGCAGAAATTCCCGGGACCGTGGTGTGCACGCTATGGAGGCCAAGTCCGGGTTAGAGCAGCAGGTGGCTGAGTTGGTGCAGACATTGAAGCAGCCCAACAGTCTTATTCCGGGCCGAGGTACAGCTACGCCTCCAGTAGCCCAGTGTCAGTGGTGTGAGAGCCCGAATCATCTGGTGGAGGACTGTCAGGCTATGAGGGAGTCCTCTACTCCCCAAGAACAGGTGTACTTCATCGCCAATGCTCGGCGCCTTGACCCATACAGCAATACATACAATGAGGGGTGGCGCCAGCATCCCAACTTTGCCTGGAGCAGCAACGCCACTAAACTCCCTGGTTTCCCAGCGCCAGCGGGTGGTTTTCAGCAGAGACAACCCTTCCAGGCTAGGCAGGGGCCACCACCACAGCAGCAGCCCTACCAGCCTAGGCAGGGGCAGTCGTTCCAGCAGCCCCAACGTCAGTATGCCGAGCCAGCAGCAGTGCCAGCTCCCGATAATCAGATGACCGAGCTGAAGAATATTTTGGCGGCATTCATGACCACCAGCCAGGCGAATTTCACGAGGGTGGACCAGAGCATAGTCTCACTGGAGGCAGGACAGAGGAACCAGGGTGCCATTTTGCAAGATTTACTGAACCAGGTGGGTGTCATAGCTCGCCAAATTACTACCCGGGCCCCGGGGACTCTACCTGCCACCATCATCCCCAATCCACGGGAGCCGCACCAGCAGTTGGACGCCATTTTTACCAGGAGCAGCAAGACCATCTCAGCTGATCCTGCCCCGGCCAGGCAGGAGGAGCCACTACCTGCTTCAGCACTTCCAGCCGATGATGCAGAAGTGCGGGTGGAGAAGGAAGCCCCTGCTCCCAAGCCACAACCAGTGGTTAAGGAGCATGTGCCCAGCTTCCCTTCCCCACTCGCCTACACAAAGACAAGCTGGAGACTGAGTTTGCCAAGTTTATGGCAATGTTGAAGCAGCTCAACATTAGCATACCGTTTGTGGAGGCACTGTCGAAGATGCCCAAGTACGCAAAGTTCATGAAAGATCTCCTCACCAACAAGAAGAAACTTGGGGATCTCTCGACAGTGCTGCTGAGCGAGGAGTGTTCTGCTATCCTGCAGAACAAGCTGCCCGAAAAGCGCAAGGACCCAGGGAGTTTCACTATCCCTCTTATTATTGGCAGCATGCATGTAGGCAAGTCGTTGGCGGACCTAGGCGCTAGCATAAATGTCATGCCATATAAGTTGTTTAAGAAGCTAGACCTAGGTGAACTTAGCCCTACTAGGATGAGTATTCAGCTAGCTGATCGTTCCGTTGTGCATCCTAGGGGTATCATAGAGGACCTGCTTGTTAATGTGGCTGCATTCACATATCCTGTTGACTTTGTTATTCTGGATATAAATGAGGATGTGGATGTACCTTTGATTTTGGGTAGACCATTTCTTGCCACCCCCAAGGCACTTATTGATGTGCATGATGGTAAACTGATCTTGCGTACTGGGAATGAACAGGCTACTTTTTCTGTAACTGAATTCGATCACTGTGCTATGATTGCTGTCACACCTGTGCATGCTATTTCTGACCAGGTACACGAGCCTATCATGTATCCTTCTGCACCTCTCATTTTGCAGGATCCCCCTCTCACTCCTTCGCCGCCGCTCCCTCCAGCCCCACCGCCGACTACAAAGCTCAAAGAGGAGTGGCGGCCGAAGCAGCAGGTGCCTAAGCCCACTCGGAAGAAAGGTGGAGACCACTATGAGCTGATCCCACCTCCTGCATCACGATCACCCTGGCCATCCGCGTACTCACTTGTCTGCATTCTGCCGGATGGCCAGGTCGAGCTAACCAATGCTGGTGGTTGCACCCGTCGGGTGCACGGTCACCACCTGAAGCTGTACCTCAAGAGTGACGTGGATCCGCTCTTGGAGGCACCTGTTCTCGCGGACCCTTAGTTCCGCCATGGGCGTCCAGCTAAAAGACGGTAAAGAAGCGCTTGTGGGGAGGCAACCCCACCACGGTTTGCATTTCTTTTTCCTTTTTTTCTGAGTTTTTGTGTCATGTAGAGTCAGATGCATGTCTGTGGTGAAGTTCGGTCGTTTGTGATGCCTCGATTCGGTGTTTTCGTGCAGGAGAGGTTGAAAATTTTGGAGAATGAGAATTATGGGCGGAAGGGTAAAATACCCGGTCGTGAGCCAAAATACCTGACCGGGTATTTTTGGCTCGTGACCGGGCCCCCTTCTGCCTTCCGGGGCGCCCAAAGGTCAAATCCCCGACCTCGAGCCAAA